ATTTACACACTTACTAACTGTTGATCCTCTTCCTTGAATTCAATTCATGTCGAAAGAAAATACGCTCAGTATTCCGGCGCGAAAAGTTATAGAAACATTAATCATAAGAAAAGATAGCAAGTGCTTGATGTATTTGCTTAACGGTAGCGAAAAAAAAAGTGTGCAAACAGTTTAGATATGTACATAGCTTTAGGGAATCATGAAGCTGTTTGCAACTGTTATAAGACGATTTTGTTAACCCAAGGGACGAGTGAACGGGAAACATTTAAATCTGTCCCAAAGGCAAAAACATAAGACATTGACAAAATAGCCGATTTCCCCTATCAGGGCGTCAACACGTCTCAACTAATACAAATTAGGCTACCCTTATCTTTCGCCTAAGGTTACAGTCTCAGCCGTGTCAGCACTTGAAGTTTCATGGAGGTCTCCCACATATATCCCTTGTTTAATCGACGTTGGAAGACCGCTTTCATCGCCGTGGTCCGCTCGCCACTTAGTTTCTGAATTTCCCAGACCCTTAAGATCTTAATTCTCTGGGGACTGCTGGGGATCAGTCTTTTCTTGCCCCGAGTGGAGTACGTCATATTATGTCAATAAATTACCGGCTTAACCAGGGATACAGTTTTCCGATCTCGGCTGTAGAAATTTTCGAGAAGTAACAACAGAGTAATCGCTTTTTCGTTTCTCTGACTTAGTGCTCGATCGTCTTGTCTTAAATACATTAATGATAATTGTGCCACGTATTTCCCAGTCCTGTGTTCATTCTCTCTACTGCAGGTGGTAGGAGGAGACCGTGGGTATGTACTTTGTTGGGGTTTTTTTTCATTTCCATCACGTTTTAAAAAAAATTCTAACACAAGATGTGCATGTACCATAACTAACATATCACACATGGGCCCTGTTTATTGTTGCAGATTTTTTTTTCTTTGTTTTTGTTTGTTTGTTCGTTTGGATTTTTGTTTGTTTTGTTTGTGGTTTGTCTGTTTTATCTTTTTGTTTATTTGTTTGTTTGTTGTTGCTGCATTTTAGACAGACTGACAGACAGACAAACAGCAGATAGTTAGAATTACAGGGAATTCTGTATTTTTCCTTTTATTATTGTATGTAGCATGTTTGTTTCTCAAGCTGCCTTGTATGCTGTACGACTAAAACTGACGTAGTAAAATTTAGAAAAAAACAACCCACCCCCTTGAAATATATCCCATAACAAAACAGATCGTTCCCCTTTATTATATGATGAGTACTGACCGAAAGAAAGACGAAATATTCAACTTAATGTTGAAATTATTCCTCGCATCAAGAACATAGTATAACTTACAATCCTGAAACAGCAGCAGCAACAACAACAACAACAACAACACATTAAAAAACCTCAACAAATAAAACAAGAACAAAAACAACAAATAAAAATAATAACAGCAACAAACAAAACAACAACAAAAACAACAAATAAAAAAAAATAACAGCAACAAACAAAACAACAACAACAACAACAAATAAAAAACAACAGCAACAAATAAAACAACAACAACAACAACAACAACAACAACAACAACAACAACAACAACAACAAAAGCAATAGCAGCAGCAGGAGCAGCATTACCAAAACCACCAACATCAACAACAACACTGACAAAAGAACCGTGCGTATGTGCCTTATTAAACACAGGTAACTGACTGGTATTCACGAAAACTACAAAGGACCGCCACGTAAAGGTGTTAATATTAATCCTACGTAAAGAATGTCTAGGATAATCTATATCCTACGCCCCCCCCCCTCTCTCTCCCCCCCCCCTCTCTCCCCCCCCTCTCTCCCTCTCTCTCTCTCTCTCTCTCTCTCTCTCTCTCTCTCTCTCTCTCTCTCTCTCTCCCCACAACCACACACACCCGCACAAATCACCACTATAACACTGCTTCGAACACGCCTGTTGGAGGTTCTGTGAGAAACGACGCGGATCTTATACCCGCTGCACACTGCAAATCGAATTCATCGATTCGAGTCGGGGCTAGCCACGTTTTTCCTTCACATATCGGGTGAAAGCTATCATTTTGGCACAATACAACCGATTTGACTCGCGACCGTACAAATACAAATGCGTTTGATTTTTTAAAGTAATTGTCGAATCTAGATGGAAACGGTGGTAATTTGTCAAAAATGTAGCACTACGCCCCTGCCCCCAGGAAAAAAGAAATGGCCAGCCCCGACTCAGCCTGACGAATCTGATTGTCAGTGTGCAGTAGGTGTAACCACTGACCGCTGTCCACTATTATTAATTAATCCTACTATTCCGAGACACAGAGACTCTATAGTGTTTATGTGAACGTTCAGACGTTGGAAGTAGCTGGACGTTTGACGAGCAGCAGCAGACATTAAATAGGAAGACGTTACATCTTATGGAAGTGTGGTACGTTGTCAGCTCGGATCATTCATTGGTAGAATTCTGTGAAAATGCAATACTTCGAAAGTTAAGAGGTTGCATTCGTCGAGTGATCAGGGTGGTAAGTAAACTATCTGTAAACAGACAAGCTGTTGGCCTAACAACGCTGTCCAGCTGTTAAACTGTGAAGAGACTAAAATTTTGATTTTTTTTTCTTTTTGCAGTCTCTGGATTTGCGGTAGCAGTTGCATGTGCTCATAAGTTCATTATTGTCTCGAAATTCAAATTCGAAATGTGGGGAAAAAGCAAGAAAAATGCATAATGTAGGTACAATAATGTAATTGTTTAAAGAGTGAAACAGATTTTTTTCTAATTCTTGTAAAATTATGAACTTTGGGTCTAGTACTTTTTACCAGCTTCCTGGCGACAAGATCTATTGCTACAAAGTAAATACATTTACGTTTTTTATAAGATAGGCTTTATTTCTAACCTTCAATGCGCACCCCCCATCCCCCACCTTTCTTGCTGATAGGATTTCAATTTTAATAAGTCACAATCTCTTTTCCCCCCACCCATGACATCATTTCAGTATGTACTTACTATACCACTCGTTTTATTTCTCTCCATGGAATAATTGTTATTTCTATTGTTGTAAATGTTGCTGATGGGTTTTGTCCGTTATTGTTGCTGTTGCTGTTGTTGTTGTTGTTATTATTGTTGTTGTTATTGTTGTTAATGTTGTTGTTGTTGTTGTTGTTGTTGTTATTGTTGTTGTTTTTGTTGTTAATGTTGTTGTTGTTGCTGTTGTTATTGTTGCTGTTACTGTTGTTGTTGTTGTTGTTATTGTTGTTGTTTTTTGTCGTTAATGTTGTTGTTGTTGTTGTTTTAATTAAATTTCTGTTGTTCGTTTAAGAAGTTAAGCGCTCTACTAATATAAATAAAATCATTTTGAAAACCGAATTAGATATTTCCACGGTCTCATCAACATAATTTGATTTTTTAGAATCAGAAGGCGGGATTTGATCCTACCATTCATTGCCAGGCCGTCCTGAAACGGATATTAACATCCCAGGGGTAAGACCTACATTCTTGACAAAAATCCTCCCCACTCGGGAATCGAACCCAGATCTCCTTCAGACGACAACAAAGCACCTAACCGTTTAACCACAGACGCCGGTCCCGAGGAACTGATCGAGTGTAATACAGGACCCTCCCCCCCCCCGACACACACCCATTCTCTCCCTCCCCCTGTATATCTTCTATAATATTATGATCTTCTGCACGTGCCTCCATACTTACAAACACAACTTGTTTTATTTCTCTCAAATATTTGTTCTTATTTCTATAGTATTGTTGCTGTTACTGTGGGCTTTTGCTCACTGTTGCGTTAATCTTTTTATTGTTTCTGTTTAGCATCATAATATGTACTATCATAATAATATTATTAAGAAAACTGTTTTAAAAAACCGACATCTGTCCCATTATTTCGTGACGCTTGTGCTAGCATCTACGTTGCGGCGGCCGCGATTTCTGTATTTTCCAACAGAAAAAGCTAAATATCTTTTTTTCATAACATAGTAGAGATGTAATTTGATAATTTTAAGATGTTCATGTATAGTTATTTTCATGCTAAGATTGTAGGTATCTTACATACTATATTTATATTGTTTTTTTCTTTTCTTTTTTCCCTCTTCGTTGTGTTTTAATGTGTTGATGTGTTAATTTTTTATATTTTTTTTGTTATTGTTCTGATGTGCTGTTTTTCTACTTTTTGTGTTTATATAGCGTAATGTCATTTAATTTGATGTAGTTCCTACATTTTTTAAAATATAACTGTGTTATGTTAGAGCATGTCACTACCGAAACTGAATACTGACACTGGCCGGCTCCTTGAGTGTGGTTCCATAATTTACATGTGATATCTTGTACTTTTCCTTGAATTACACACGTTTAGGGTTGAAGCAGCCAATCTTCAGATGGTGGACACGCGCTCTTATTTGTTAATTTTGTGGTTGTTTGTGTGCTGTTCTAATTTTGATTTCATTCTGTTGTGAAACCTTTATTTTTCATGTTTTTAAACTCCATGTCGCTACAAATGACATTCTAGATACTTGAAACAGAACATACTGAAATTCTGGTGCTTTAGATTTAGTTACCTCTATCAACATTATATTGCTATATAATGTAAACGTCGTCACAGAGAATTGAGTGGCAACTTTTGGACCAAAAAAAAAATGCAACAAACGCAGATGCTAGCTTGTGTAAATTAGTTGTGCATCATTGTATGTGTATAAAAGAACATAAATAATAATATTATTATGATTAATGTATTTCTGTGTTGATGCTGAATCTTTTGTATTTTGATGTTTTGGTAGGCTACTTCCATCCAAAGTTTTCGTTCGTTCGTGGATCTATAAAGTCTGTCTTGTCTTGTCTTGTCTTGTCGTGTTTTGCCTTGTCTTGTCTTGTCTTGTCTTGTCTTGTCTTGTCTTGTCTTGTCTTGTCTTGTCTTGTCTTGTCTTGCCTTGTCTTGTCTTGTCTTGTCGTGTCTTGTCGTGTCTTGTCTTGTCTTGTCTTGTCTTGTCTTGTCTTGTCTTGTCTTGTCATGTCTTGCCCTGCCTTGTCTTGTCTTGTCTTGTCTTGTCTTGTCTTGTCTTATCTTATCTTATCTCATCTACAGTATACATCCACTATGGGCCGTTGATGGAGTTCCTCAAGTCGCGAGCCAACATGCGCGAAGTCCGCCAAGCTCCCAGGTCGGCGGGTCACGTGGTGTGGTCCTCGTCCTTCCAGACCGTGGGGAGTCTAAGAAGACACTGTGACCGCCCCATCCCTCTTGCGGAGGAAGACTCCAGCCCCATCTCTGGTCGAAGTACTCGTCTCAAATCTGCCCCTCCCTCTTCCTCTTACTCCGGCTCCTCCTACTCCTCCTCCTCCTCCTCGTCTTTCTCTACTTCATCATCAAAGATTTCATTGACCTCCCCTTTTGTTCTCACTGGTTTCAAGCAATACAACGGGAGAGGTGAGGCAGGCGATGAAGACAGTCACTCACCGGGTGGTTTGAGGCAAACTATCTATAAGGGAAGCAGTTCTTCAGCTTTGACAAACGCTGAAAACTTACAGTCGGGCAAGTATAATGTTCTTTATAAACACAGCGAGGCTGGAAGTAGAAGGGCTTCATCTGAAGGCGCTGGTAGTGGTAGCCGTAGAGCCAGCCAGACTAATGGCAGATCTACCAATGTTCTTGTGAGGCGTCGGTCTTCCTTCTTCAAGGAGAACGGTTCAGGCAGAAGAAGGGAAAGTGGTAGTGCCCCACACAAAACAAACCACGCCAAATCTGGACAAGAAATAAGGCCAAAATCCGCTCCTGGCGAGGTCTGTGAAAAAGATGAAAATAACGTTTCCAGATTACAATTTAAAAGTTCCAAAAAATTCTCTAAATTTCCTACCGACAAGAACAAGTTATACCCGCCTGTTGAAATTCAGATAGAAGATTCTTCCTCCAGTGACTGTTCTGATTTCGATAATAACATATTTCGAAACGAACTTTGTCCAAACGAAGGAAACGAGCTAGCAAACCTGACTTGGTCAAAGAATAAGACAGAACAGCAGAACAATACGGTACTCACAGATAAAGGCGTCGAGAGTGGCTACAACTTTAAGACCAGCGGTGAGACAGAAGACACCAACAACAGGCCCGGCTCCAACACTGGTCGCCGGAAATCGTGCGTGGGGGTGAACGGAGAGCGCAACAATAGAATAAAATCTGGGCAGTCCTCCGAAATGGACCAGGACGCCATGTCTCTGTCCAGCTCGACCTTCAGGGGAAGGTCACAGAGCATCGCCAGCGGCTCCCTCATCCTGGACCCCACTCGTTGGAGCGGCTCGCGCAGCAGGCGGCGGAGCAGTTTTTTGCTGTCACCTCGCGTGGAGAAGAAGAAAGGCGTGACTGTCGTCATAGACCACGCCTCTAACCGGAGGAACCTCCAGCGTCGCATGTCTTCAGAGGCCTGGTAAGTGCCGGTAAGATAAGAAGAAGAAGAAGAAGAAGAAGAAGAAGAAGAAGAAGAAGAAGAAGAAGAAGAAGAAGAAGAAGAAGAAGAAGAAGAAGAAGAAGAGGAGGAGG